CACAAGCTCAATTTCAAACGCGCCCTATTAAAAAGCCCCAAACCAAAATGAGCCCACCCAAAAACTGAACATATTTTTAAAATACAGCCCACTTAACCATCACTTTCAACAACTATTATTTTTTAAATATATTTTTTTAAAAAAAAAAAACGTTACTCTTAAGTTTAAATTTCTGAAATTTATTACTCCTCTCTTTGATTTTCTCTCTCTAACAATCAAACACAATTCACTCTTTCTCTTCAAAAACAACCATGAATATTTGAGATGAGATGAAAAATTAAACGGATTCTCCCCCAAAAGGCAATTTTATGTAAATTTCACTTAATTTTGTTTGAATTTATATGATTATCACTTAATTTTGTTTGAATATTGTTCGATACTTTATTGTTCGAAATCTTTTATTGGAATTGTCAAAAAAAATTAGTGAAATCAAACTGATACCTTATGTTCACATTTTGAAATGCATATGTTCATATTTTGAATACTTATGTTCACTTTCTGAAATGCATATGTTCATATTTTTTATGCATATGTTCACTTTCTTAAATGCTTATGTTCATATATTGAATCCTTTTGTAAACTTTCTGAAATGCATATATTCACTTTCTAAATCCTATATGTTCATTTTTTTTTATGTTTACGTTCACCTTCTAAAATGCTTAATTATGTTCATACGTATTAAAAAATGAACCAATACATATGTTCATATTTTGAATGCGTATGTCCATTTTCTAAAATGCATATGTTCATATTTTTAATACTTATAATGCATATATTTTATAATCATATTATTTTTTTTCTTCAATTTTTTATGTTCATAATTAAATGCCTTATATTCATAATAAAATTTTATATGTTTATAATGTAAATATTCATAGTAAATATTTGTTGTTCATGAAATATTCTCATTAAGTCTGTTTGTGCATATGTTCTGTTTCTTAAATGCATATGTTCATATTTTTTACGCATATGTTTAACTTTTAAATGCTTATATTTAAGGAAACCAATGCTTACGTTCATTTATTGAATTGTTATGTAACTTTCTGAAATGCATATGTTCATATTTTTTATGCCTATGGTCTGAGCGCGGGGAAATTAGGTCGTTAACTAACCTCCTCACGGCCAAACAAAATTTATTATAATCCTAAACTAACCCCTAAACAAGTCTAGTGGTAAGTTCGGAGTCGAACCACAAGGAACAGTAATGTTAGATTGTTCTCGATCTAATGTTTAAGCTACACCGAAGTCGGTTTATGGATAGTGGACACTACAACTACACTAACACACATATACAGAACAAATATTATAAAGTCTGCTAGGGGTAAAGATCCACTTTGAACATTTAACAAGTTAATGAGAATCCATTTGAAAATCAATCATGCAAAGAAAGAATTAAAATGGGAATTAATTACACTCAAGAGCAATCTCTCAAATTCCTAGCCTAGATCCCTCATTGACTAGGTTCATAGAAGAAATTTACCCAATATGCAATCAAATATAACAATTCTAATTCACAATCCCTTGTTAAACTAGAACTAATATGCAATTAAGTTTGCTATCATGGGAGATCAATCCAATCTAAAACAAACAACATGCCATCATCGATTCAATCAATTTAATCACACAATTATCATCAAATTTATCTCAAATAACTCAATTAACCATTACAAAGCTTCACTCAACACCTAGTAGAAGGAAACCTACTCATACATGATTAACAAAGCAATTAAAGAAAGCATAAAGAGAAAAGAGAGTAAGAATGCTCATTGATATGAGATGGAGATCTTCAAATCATCAAATTCCTCCTTTGATTATCCAAAATCCATAAAAACCATTGTGTTTCTCACTTTCTCTCTCTTAAATTTGAGAGTTTCTCTCTCTAAAAACCTAAAACTAATCTAAAAACTACTGAAGATATGAATTCCTCCCTCTAAAGTGAGCAAAAAATCTATTTATACCCCTTACTAAATTGCCTAGGAAGCTCCGCAAAAAGTCGAGCAGCGCGCAGAGAAGCGGGCGCTCCAATTTCGTGCACGGGAACTCCTAGCTGCAGCAAAATATGGCAGAATTGTTCCAGAAAGTTTCGAGCGGGCGCTCCTCATAGGGTGCGCGCCCGCTCCTATCGGACTAGGCAAACCGCTCAGCTTCAAATGAGCATATCTCCCACGTTTTATAACGGAATTGGGCATATGACCTGTCGTTGGAAAGCTCTAGAGATAAGCTTTCATCTCCAATTAGAATCGCCCCAAAATGTTTTGTAGATCAAAAGATATAGGCGTTTGAAGTTCGATCATTGCAAATCAAGTGCACATTTCTTCATTACTTGTTCTTTTATGTTTTATATTTCTTCAATCTTGAGCAATGAACTTATCCAAGTGTTCCTAAACATAAGAATAAACCAATAAAGTTTAATCTAATGCCATAAGCAACCAAAATATGCAAGAAAAGCCAAAATTGAGCAATAACGACATTTCACACGTAATCATGACAAATGTAGTAAAACGTTATTAAAACCAAGTAAAAAGATATTAAAACTATGAAAAACTAACTAGAAAAATCTTAAAAATAGCGACATGAATGACATTTATCATGTTCACATTCTGAAAAGCTAATGTTCACATTTAAGGAAACCTATGCGTATGTTCACATTTTGCATGATTATGTTCATTGCTAAAAAAATGCAGAAAATCAGATGAAATTCATACACAGATGAAATTGATCGAAGCTAAAAAAATTCAATTCATATGAATTCAAAAAATCAGATAAACTTAATCAATTGAAATTAAGCACACATTCACCACATAATAAATTCAATTGAAAAATTGAATCAAAAAATTGAAACAAAAGAGAGGAGAGAGAAATTAAAGAAGGAAGTAGAAAAAACAGAAGAAAAGAAAATCATAATGAAATTTTTAATCGAAAATTTTGATGAGAATTAGGAAAGAAAAGAAAAGAGAAGAGAGAGAATTGGTAAGAAGGAAACCAAAAATTGTTGATCGAAAAGAGGAGAAAAAATTGGGAAGAAGGAAATGTGTTGGCGCGAAGAACGTTGATAGAGTTCAGAAGAATAAGGCTGCGTTTTGCTGCGTTTCATTCAGTGAAACATGCGTTTTGGGTTGTTGCATCTACCTCTTCATGCACAAGCATGTAGCTAAGTATATGCGAGTTGATTTGTGGGCTCATTTAAACCAAACCAGACTTTGGGTGGATTATGACAAATTCACAAATTACGTGGATCGAACCATTGGATAGTCAACCCTCTTGAAAGTGGTTCACCTAGCTTCATCCTAGAAGGCTAACCAACCAACTCAATAATGGGCCAGAGTTTGGGCCAATCTCACTTTCTTACCAAGCACTTAGGCCCACCCTACCCTATTTACTTAACAAGAGTAACTTTGTCCCTATTTTCTTTGCCCTGTTGACTGTGCTTTGTTATTAATGTTATTTACGTTTTTTGTAATCAAAGTTGGTGTCAAACTGTCAATATAACTAGTGGTACAAGTTGGTATCAATAATTGTAGCACTTTCTAAAGTTGGTGTCAACAGTTGTAATTTTGCCTTTTAAAAATAACACAAAATGATTAGAGGAGATATATTCACACATTTATCTCAAAGAGAAACTTGAATTTACCCGTTTAAAACTAGAGGTATCAAAAACACACCCGACCCGACTCGATCTGAAACCCCCAAAAAATATTTGATTCAGATTTTGATTCGTGTGAACACAATAATTTAGCATGACTCAACTTTAAAATTTGACTCGACCCAATCCAACCTCATCGAATCTGATCTGAATATCCGAATTGACACCTATATTTAAAACTCGTATAAATTATCATAACAATTGTATTTTTTCCATTTTTTTTAAGGAAAATTGTAATGCTCTATTTAACTACTCATGTCATATACTCTATCTTAAATTGATTTAATGTTGAAATTTTGGAAAAACATTAATTTCTTAATTTGACATTTAACTACTAATTTCAGATTATATTATTGTTTCTTTCTTCTACTCCACATTAATTCTTTTTTTTTTTCCTTGTCATATAATTCTTTTTTTTTAACGAACTCGTATAAATTTTACATAATAAAATTCATACAATTTTTTTTTTTTTTTAAATTTACATGTAATTCACAAAAGAGGGTCAAAGGAATAGTAATGTAGTGCAAAAGTCAAAGCGCGTCAAGTAAAAAATAACAAAAAAAATTATATTAATTGATCCAAATTACTAAATATTTCTCCGTATTGCCTTTTTCAAAATTTCAATTTGGATATGTGCCATTACCAGACTTGTCAAACAAGTCGTTCGAGTTAGTTCATTTTCAGCTCAACAAATAATTGGGTCAAGTTTGGTTCTGGTCAATTCGGGTTCGGGTCAATAAATAATTAGGCTAGACTGGGTATCAAGTCAACACCTCAAATTGAGTTCGGATCGGATCAATTTTTTAGGTCCAATTGTTGGGTTAAGTTCAGGTCGAGTCAATTGTCAGCTCCATTTTAATTTTTTCTTGGACATGTTGTAATTAAGCTCTAAATCAATTAGGTAATTTTGGATATCGATTATATTTGGTTCGGGTTAATTCGGGTTTAAGGTAATTATACTTCGAGTCACATCAGGTATGAGGTTTGTTCAGGTCAATCAATTCGAGTTATATTTGGGTTGAGTCACTTCGGGTATTGGGCCAATTTCAGGTCAGGTCATTGGGGTATCGGGTCAAATTTGGTTTGGTAATACTTAGGTTGGGTCAACTTTAGGTGTTGGGTCAAATTCGAGTAAACTCCATATCAGGTGAGGTGTGATTCAGGTTGATGATTTCAGGTCATGAGTCAGGTCTTTCAGGTTGGGTTAGAATTACCAGGTCTACGTGCTGGTGTAATTGAAACATACAATTAAAAGAATACTCCATACTTTGTAATTTCATTATTATAAGTAAAAATCGGATGAATCGAACGCACATTATAGTCACGGAAAAACAACCCACATCGAAAAAGAAAGAATTTGTTACCGGCGGGCGAACCCTGGACCTCCGCTCCAAGGCCTCCAACACAACCCTAACCTGTCCTTCTCTCTCCTTTCTTCTCTCTCTTCTTCCCTCTCTTTCATCCTCCATAGTCGTGGTCTTCCAATGACCACGTCGCCAGAGGAGTCCGAACCCTTCTTTTTCTTCCCCAAAAATACCCTCTTCTTCATTTACTGATCATTTAAACCTGCACAAAACTTGGCAAATTCTTCTTTCATGGCTGACATTTTGTGGGTTTATCCATCTTCAACCGATGACTAAAATGGTAAAGCTTTTCCAAACCCCATCTCCATTTCATCTTCTTAAGATTTATTCTGTATTGGGTTCTTTTCATTTCCATAGATTTTCATCAAAATCTGGTATTTCTTCTATCAAATCAGCTCTTTCTTCGCTGCAAATTTCTAATGATACTTTAGTTTCTAGAGTTTGTGAAATTTTGTCTGATAATCAATGGTTATGTAGCTCCGAATTGATTCGATTGAGCCCCAAATTAACTCCCCGTCTTGTGGAACGAATTATTCATACCCATTTGGATACTGGATCACTTTTACAGTTCTTTTATTGGGTTTCTAAGAGACCCTCTTATGAACATGATTTTAATTGCTATTTTTCTATGTTAGATAGGCTTATTGTGGATCATCGTCGCCATGACGATGCCCAACATTTGATAGTTTTGAGTATTAGAGCTTGTAAGAATGTGGAGGAGCTGAAATGGGTTATGGATTTTTTGGTTGATATCAGGAAGAGAGGTTTTAAGATTAGTATGTATAGTTATAATACTTTATTGATTGCATTGGGTAAGCTCGACATGGTCAGAGCTGCCTATAATGTGTATACCGAGATGTTATTGGACGGAATTAGCCCTAGTCTTTTCACGTTGAATACTATGATCAATATGTTCTGTAAGAAGGGGAAGGTCGAGGAAGCCGAGCTTTTTTTAAGTAGGATTTTTCAGTATGGCATGTGTCCGAATGTTTTTACATATACCTCGTTGATTCTTGGGCATTGTAGAAACAATAATGTAGGTAAGGCCTTTGGGGTGTTTAATTGGATGTTGAAGAAGGGTTGTCAACCTGACTCGGTGACGTATAACACTCTCATCAATGGGCTCTGTGATGAGGGTAAGTTGGATGAGGGTTTGAAGTTGATTAAGGAAATGGTAGAGAAAGGAATTAAACCTACGGTTCATACTTTCACCGTTCCAATTCTCAAGCTGTGTGAGTGTGGGCAGGTAGAGAAAGCTTCCAGACTTTTGGGTGCCATGTCAAAAAGAGGTTGTCAACCTAACGTTCATACGTATACAGCTCTTATTAGTGGGTTTTCTCATGTAGGAAGTCTGGAGGTTGCTCTTGGGTTATACAACAAAATGATGAAAGTTGGTGTGGCTCCAGATACTGCTGTCTGTAATGCATTGATTCATGAATTGTGTGAGGGAGGAAGGTTTGAACAAGGTTTGAAGATTTTTGATTGGATGAAGGCGCGTGGTTTTCAACCTAATGTTCATTCGTACACAGCTCTTATTTGTGGGCTGTCACGTGCAAGGAATCTAGAGGAGGCTGTTGTATTATGCAACAAAATGATGAAAGATGTTGTGGCTCCTAGTATTACTGCCTGTAACACATTGATCCATGAATTTTGTGATGGTGGAAGGATTGAACAAGCATTGAGAATTTTTGACTGGATGGAAGCCCATGGCTGTCTGCGGAATTCTCGTACCTACAATGAAATAATTAGGGGGTTGTGTTTGAGAGGTGCTTTGCAAGAAGCTATGATGCTTTTTGGTGATATGGCTAGGGCTGGGACTTCTCCTTCTGTGGAAACATACAACATTCTGATACATGGTTACATATTGCAAAAAAAACTGGACCATGCTGTGAGATTATTTGATTTGATGAGGGAAAGTGGATGTAACCCTGATGAATACTCTTACACTGAAATGATGCTTGGGTTCTGCAAAGGCGGGAAGTTGGAGCTAGCATCTTCTCTCTTCCATGAAATGATTGGACAAGGTTTGCGCCCAAATGAATATACCTTTACCATTCTCATTGATGGTCATTGCAAGGCAGGACTCATAGATGGAGCACAAGATTTACTTGGTAAGATGAAGGAATTTGGTTGCTCTCCTACAACTGAGACCTTCAATACCATTATAAATGGATTAGCAAAAGAAAATAGATTTGCAGAGGCAGAGAATTTATGCAGCAGATTGTCTGAGTATGGATTGTTGCCTAATGTTGTCACCTACACATCATTGATTGATGGTCTTTGTCAACATGGTGGGACAAATGTTGCATTCAAGGTGCTTCATGAGATGGAAAAGAATAACTGCTATCCAAACTTGCATACTCATAGTGTACTCATTCATGGGTTGTGCCAAGAAGGAAAAGTTGATTGTGCAGAAGGTTTTTTCAATGAAATGCAAACCAAAGGGATATCCCCTGATGTGGTGGCATTTACTTCTCTTATTGATGGTTTTGTTATGATTGGTAGGCTAGATCGTGCCTTTTTTCTACTCCGGAAGATGTTGGAGTTGTGCATCCAACCTAACTACCGCACTTTCAGAGTGTTGCTGAAAGGTTTGCAGAAAGAATCTCATTTGACGGTGAACAAGGTTGCAGTTCAGAATGATGTTTCCTATAGTTTCCCTTCTGACGCTAATTACATTGGATCTGAATTGATCAGCCAACTGTTGGTTAAACTCTCAGAAATTGACGGTGAACCCACAGTTAGCACATATAGTACCCTAATCGCTGGTTTATATAGAGAAGGCAAATATAGCGAAGCAGAACTTTTGATACAGAGTATGCAAGAGAAAGAATTGCCTCTGAATAAGGACATCTATAATTTGCTAATACTAATTCATTGTAAAAGCTCAAGAGTGGAGCCTGCTCTGGATATCATAAAAACATTGTCCAGTAGTGAGTTCGAGCCTCCATTATCTACTTATGGCATGATTATATGTTTGTTGTGCAAGTTGAATAAGGTGGATGAAGCTGTATCGCTGTTTCAGAACATTCTTGAGAAAAATTGGAATCCCGATGAGGTTGTTTGGAGTGTGCTGGTTGATGGATTACTAAATGAAGGACTAGTGGTTCCATGTGTGAAGCTCCTTCAACTAATTCTGTCCAGTAAACACACAGTCAGCCTATACACTTGCAAGTTTGTGGCTGAAGAAATGTCAAAAGTGGATGGATCTTTTAAAACTAATCTGCTTGTTGACAGAGTGATAGGCAGTAGGGATAGTTTGCCAGGTTAAGCTTTTGCATGTTCATTGAGCATGGACTTGTGATTAATGAAATGACTTGGTCTTTTGCAAGTTACTGAGACGGGGATGGCTGTATTTCGTCTAGTTCTCACCTTTCCAGCTCCCCTTTCCGGACAAGGTGAGGATAGTAACTTCTAGATCGGCTTGGTTTTGTGTTTTTTTTTTTTTTTTTTTTTTTTTTTGACAGTTATTTTATTACCGCCCAGTTGAACTGTCTTCAGTAAACCTTTTGCTGATAAATATTTGAATCTGATGCTGTAACAATTAAATCAAAATTGCAGGACCCAGGACTTGTTTCCTGTCAGAGGTTGGTCACTCGTGGCCCTTGGCATTATGCAGACAAAGGTCCATAATGAACTTTGGTTAACTCTTTCTCCATATATGGTTGGCTCAAGGAGGACATAATTTTGCTTTGCAAATTACTTGTGAAAGCATATTCCACATCCTTGTTGATGGGCGTGGAAACTGAAGTTAATCCAATAGCTGTCTTTGAAGGCATCTCTTATGACTTTGGAATTTAGAGAAGTTGCATATAGCAAGGATAACAGGTGCTTCTGTTCAGTTGGCTAAGTCATCGAGACCGTGGCTCTGTGAAGGTAAGTTCTCTATACAAAATATCAGATACATGAAAACCTTCAAGACTTGCTTAAACATATAAATTATCAGGCAGTGTAGGAGAAATATAGAGATAAAATCTTCAAGTCTTGCACAGTCTTGATGTTAATATTGTTCATTTGATTTTATTGTGAATTTGTGATGGTGTTAATACTTAGTATGTCATTTAGCTGGAAGGGTGAATGGGTGATGCTGAACTTCTGACTTGTGGATTCTCATAGTAGACATTGATGCCAAGGCATCTGTTGTTGCAAAGCTCTTGTAGGATTCCTGAAAGAAAGAAAAAGTAGGAATAACAGAAACTTGCAATCTTATACATTGAAATAACAAAAAACTACCATATATGATTCCTTCTTTATCACAATGCAGTCGTACTTAAATGGGTGTAAGTAAATGATTCACTTGAACTCCTGCACAAATTGTTCATTATCTGCTTATGTTATCTTTCTTGAATTAATTAATCAGCTTAGCCACATTAAGGGTTTAAACATGACACTTCAAACATGGGGTATATTATGGTGCTGGTCTAGTTGGCTCCTGCTGTTTTGTTTGATGATATTTGTTTTTCTAGATTTTTACGTGCTAGTTTGGACTATTCTTCACAAGATTTTAATGTGTTAATAGACCATACTCGCTATTGATGGATGTGCCTGCAATTGCCATGGAAAGGATACTGCAGTTTGCTAGTTTAGGGAGGTCTATATGGGCCTGCTGGTATGCTGATAGCTAGCTAGTTCTGTTATGGTAAGGCTGTAAGGGTAATGAGCGAGCTTGAGGAGAGTAGAGAGAGAAGGGGTTACTGACATTGCAGTTGTGAACTGATTGTTGAAGTTAAGTTTCACCATTTGTTTCGAGGACAGGGTGATGATTTCTGAAGTTTCTTGACAAATTCATTTTAGTGCTCCCTAAAAAAAAGTATAGTAATTGCAGTGGCTTTCTTTAATTATTGGATGTGATTTGATATCCAGAATTCTGATCTTCTACCCTTGGTCTTTTTCTTGCTTTTATATGTAACAGCTTAAGTATTTATGATCCTGTCAACCACGACCTGTGGCTCTGTGGGCTAAGTTATTATTGGACATTTGATTTAGATGCTTACCTCTGTTTTAAATTTTGCTTTTCATCAGAAGTGTCCTGAACTCTTGATGATATTAAATAATTAAGATAGCTAAGAGAATTTGTCCTTGCCTTTTCCTGTATGCATGGTTAAGTAATTTATGCAAGAATAATGATTTTTGGTGCTACCTTGTTGCAGGCTCAAGCAATGTTGCGGGATGTGGCAATTGCATTTTTCCAAAACGTAAAGCAAGTGTACAGACGTATTTTGTGATGTGACACTGAGTTGTCCCTTTATAATGTATACGTAACGTAACCAGAATACACTACATTTTGTTATAGGTGACCCAATATTCATTGATCTAGTTTCATTCATAATTTTTTTACAGAAAGCAATAAAAATAGAGTATCAAATTTTGCTGACAAAACTTTGTGTACTTGTGTGCACTGTCAGAAAAACTACTGAGGCAGTTATCTCAAGTCCATGTTGGGTTGTAAGAAGGTTGCCCAAACGAGTTACGGATTGATTAAATTTTTATAAAGAACATCACTACTTTTTTATTTTTATTTTGGTGCAAACGAGGGGCTAGGCCCCAAAGAAAAGAACACAAAGAACATCACTAGAACTGTGTTTGAAAATATTGTTGGATTGCTTCTGTAGTTCTGTTCTAAATAATCATAGCTAGTTTCATGTAAGGTCATAAACTGAGGATATGTTACTGTGTAGTTTCTCATAGAACATTCTTTTGTAAATGTGTTAATGAATCTCTAGTACTTAATATAGTGTTTCTCTTCATATATTTTCGTTAATAACCACCAAAGGGTGTGTTATGAGTCAATGAGTGGCTGTGAAAAACAATGAAAAAATATGGTATTGGATATTCGTTGTCATAGATGTTTACGTGGGCATGTGTATGAAATTACATACAAACTAATTGTCACTTTGTTAGTGTATGACCTTGTATTATAGTGTTTGATTTAATCTGGATTCGTTATTATGCATCCTCTTAAAAAAAATACATCTACTTCTGAATTGTTTTTCCTGTCTAGACTTTGATTCAGTTCTGTACGAAACTATGAAAGGTGCATGGTGAAAAAAAAAAAAAAAAAAACACACAGCAGACTGCAGTCAAATCTAACATTACAGGTCTGGAGGATCCAGTCGATTTTACTGTATAGTCAGATACATTATGCTATATTGATCTAATCTATACTCTGGTGTTTTATTTTAATAAAAGTTTTCAGTTTTCTCTCCCCTGTACTCCTGAAGTAGTGTTATTCAACCGAAAGCGACATAATAGTGAAGGCAACATTTGCTTAGGTCCCAAGCTCCCAACATAGATGGCTGCAGATTTACCCTGTTTTTGGGATGGATGCAAGAAATTCATCATGATCGAGGCAAATAATGTGAATTGCTGTTGGATATTTGCAAGTTTGCAAGACGAAAATGATGCAAATTAGCAAATACTGCAATGGGCGCTAGAAGATTTAGATTAGTCGGAGTTTTCAACGCTGTACCATGTCCATTATTAAGGTTCACCAGAAGTTATTGCATAATGTTGCAAATACCTGTTGTACTAGTCTGATACTTTTACCACTTTGTTGTAACAGAGGAATAAAATAGTTTATACTTATTAAAAACATACCAAACTCAAAGAAAATTGTTAGTCAATGTTTTAACTATCATCTATATTATTGATAAATAATTGTCAATTCCTAATCATTACATATAACTATATTAGTACAATCAATTATCAAATAAACTACCCACAAATTTAGTATTAGAGCCTAGTAATAGATGTATTCAATACCATAAAATTATAGCACCCCAAAATTTTCCCTCAGGTCAATCTACTAATTGCCATTTGAAGTGCATTATTGACAGCTATAGTGAATGCATCTTCAAATTTCTCTAACTTTGCATTTGAATTTGCATTTGCATAAACTAATCTAGGCATCAATTCATTGATAATATACTTCCTCATCTCTTGCCTTTGTTTAAGAGGTATGTTCACAAGCTTCTCCACCACATTCACCTCCGACGATTTCACCTCTTCTTGGTCTATAAACACCGAGTACTTGCTATGATCTTCGGGTAAATGCCATGGATATTGGTAATGCGCGGTAAATGGATCAAAGACAACCGGAATGCAGCCAGCAATAAGTGAATCAAACACCGATTTTCTTGTAGGACTATCTCCATCAGGCTGAAGGCAAAACTCTGACTCCATGAAGAGTTTTACAACAGGTGCAGATTCAACACATAACTTTTCTCCACAATTGAGAAATTTGCACACTCCAAAGGCAGATGTGCATTGTTTGATGAGGCTTGACCTTATGCTGGTTGGATCCTTGCGAGGAGCCCCTGCAAAGCTAACTAAGTATTTTCGCGGTACCTCCCTAATCTTCTCTTGCCATGCTATTATCTCTTTGTCCGAGCTAGGGTAGAAGTAACTCGGGTAAGGGACACCCACATCATTCATATGCCATGGATGCCGTTCAATTATTAGCTTGATTGGGTTTTGGAGCTCGTCGAGCTCCAACAAAGGTGTCCCCCAATGTAGGTACTCGGATCTTCGAAGATCCCAAGAGTTTTTCCCTAAGACAAACAGATGATCCAACCCAAAATGTCTCTTCCACATCTTCTGCTCCTTAAGCCATTCAACAATATCATTAGAGTGCATAAAATCGCGCTTGTACACCTTGACTCTCGTTACTTGGGACTTTCACCGGACTAAAATGAGACCATAACATATCTTATGCACCATAAAATGGCACATAAAAAAGTTTTGCCTCCTCTGCTTTCTCAACTCTACAAGGATGTCTAAGTATACGTCTATGAAATATTGGCTCTAACGAAAATTGGTGAGTGTTATACCATCCGTTCCCTAACTCGAGTATAGGTTCTCCCATTGCATCATTCTCAAAGTATTTACAAAAATCCAACCACGGCATAATCTCATTACACTTTGCTACCAAATCCTTGTTAAACTTCGGAGGCAGAGCATACACATATATCCCTCGTCCCTCACAATTATCCGAGGGCGGCCTTGGCTTCGCAATGTAGGATCGTAGGATTGCTAACTGAGCTTCCACAACCTTCCTAGAATTTACTCTATCCATGGCCTTTTCCTTGTCCACATCCTTTCGTAGATCAAGATTCGTAAATTGAGAGAATTCGGCCTTGCTAACATTGGTACTACCTCCTTCGATATATGAAATCGTTGATGTGGTGTTATAAACAGGGATATCATAGTTGGTAGACTGATCCCAGCAGAAAGGCAATAACGACTGCTAAGTTTCCTAGACGTTACGCAAACATGTGTAATTGAGCTAGAGATAATGACAGTGGAAGAAGACCATATAAACATGAGAAAAAGACTTTAAAGAAAAACAGCAAAAAATTTCTTGATAAATTTGAACATACATGAGTCAAGTCGGAGGCCTCGATCATCAACCTCGTATAATTGTTTTTTCTTAACATTTGAGACTGTCATCAGAGCCGTTTCTGATATTTTAGAGGATAATATAATCTACAAATTTTACCTTTTAATTTTATATGAAAATGGAAGGAAAAAGAAAAGAAATGAATAATTTCTATTTCCTTCTAGTTAGTTAAATTATTGACATCTTACTATTTTATCGGAAAGTTGTGTTTTAATTTTTATTATGAGTCACATATATTAGGATCTAGTTTTTCCTTTCAATTTATACAATTGATCATCTTCATTTTTAAGTAATATAGTGAATCTGTATGGAACTACTCAACACCATTACACCAACGCACAAGCCTAATTTGGTTAACTGAACATATGGCAAATTGATCGCGGATTACGTATTACTCCGCAGTAATTTTAGTGTCCTTATTTTTCAAAAAAAGAAAAAAAAAATATTGTACAAAAGAAATAGGACTATTATTGGAGGATATATTTTGGGAAATTATTAGGATATATTTAGTTTCTATAATGCCTAGCATATTATCTTTTTGGGATCTTTTGATTATTTCCTAATTCTATCGGGTTAGGGAAACAATGTATTATTTATTGGCTATGGCCATCAACATTGTAATTCAAGCAATTGAGATTATTCAATTTAACATATTCTCTCTAATTTAGCATGGTATCAAGAGCAGGTTGAAATTTTTTATTTTTTTTTTCCAACAATGGTCGGAGACACGTCTCCATTATTGTCACTTCTTTCTCTCGAAATTACAACCAATAAACCGTTTTCTTTTAGGTTGCAAGGTCAACCTACAAATTTTTTAACTTCTACCCAACTCAAAGCTACCAATTTCAATGATAAATCTGATAAAAGTTGCAACAAAAGCTGCCATGTGGTGGCCAATTGTGGTTTTCATGCAATCCCTCCACTACAAACTCATTATAATACCATATACATGGCTGAGCACCATCCAGACCCACGTAATTGGGTTCGTGCTAATGCCGTTTCAAGTGCTACAGTTGAGACAATAACAGGATTGTTCGGCAATATTCATGTGCCCGACAATTATTTGAAAGGAAAATTGATGTTACCTCTTGGATCATTGACACAGGGGCAACTCATCATGTAACCGGAGACAAATCTTGGTTGTTCGATACGCAGAGTTTTGAGTGTCCTGTTGGTCTTCCCAATGGTGACACCGTATTGGCTTCTTTAATTGGTTCTGTTCGTTTGTCGGACAAGCTCACCCTAACCGGGGTTCTTTATGTTCCTAATTTGAGTTGTAATTTGGTTTCTGTGTCCCAAATTACAGATGAGCTTAATTGTACTGTTCAATTTAACTCTTATATGTGTGTTGTACAGGATCAAACAAAGGAGTTGATTGGAACGGGAACTAGGAGAGACGGACTATATTATTTTAGCAATTCAGATTCGGTGAATCATGTTGATGTGGGTGAAGCAAGGTCGACCTTGGAGTTGTGGCACCGTCGAATGGGTCATCCCTCTGAAAAAGTGGTTAAGTTACTTCCTCATGTCAATGGAAATAAACATAATCTTGATAAAGGGTGTGAGGTATGTATGCGTGCTAAACATCCTAGAGATAAATTTCCTTTAAGTGATGGTAGAGCTTCTAGGATTTTTGAGAAAATACATTGTGATTTGTGGGGTCCGTATCGACATGTCTCGTCGTGCGGAGCTCGTTATTTCTTGACTATTGTTGATGATTATTCCCGAGCTATTTGGATTTATTTGTTGGTTGATAAAACTGAGGTTTTTAGAATTTTTTAGCGTTTGTTGCAATAGTTGATAGACAGTTTTCTCAAACCATTAAAGTTGTGCAAAGTGATAATGGTACGGAATTTAATTGCTTGCGTGATTATTTTAGTGCTACCGGTATTATTTTTCAAACCTCTTGTGTGGGGACTCCACAGCAAAATGGGAGGGTTGAGAGAAAACATAAACACATTCTTGAAGTTGGGAGAGCTCTGAGGTTTCAAGCCAAATTGCCTATTTATTTTTGGGGGGAGTGTGTCCTTACCGCTGCTCATCTAATTAATCGTACACCCACTCCCTTGTTGCAAAATAAAACACCTTTTAAAATTTTGTTCAATAAATCACCCTCGTTTGATGCAATACGTACATTTGGATGTCTTTGTTTTGCTCATAATCAGAAAACAAATGGGGACAAATTTGCAAGTCGGAGTAGGAAATGTGTTTTTGTGGGATATCCCTTTGGGAAGAAAGGATGGAGATTGTATGATCTTGAGTCGAAAGTCTTTTTTGTGTCTCGTGATGTGAAGTTTGTTGAGGAAGTGTTTCCTTTTGGTAACTCGGATGATGTTAACATCGATGCAAATCTCTGTGATACGGGTGAAGATATACATGTTGATTTTGATGAATTTGAATTGGGGTATGTTGAGAATGAAAGCCTTGAAAGTGAGGCCATGAATGCTACGTTGGAAAGAGAGGAACCAGCCCACTCCGCAACCACCCCGCGGCATATTGCTACAGACCGCAGGGGGGCTGCGAAGTCCTCTGCTCCACCAACTGCCACAAACCAGCAGCAGCAGGCAGAGGCGACCCTTCCTAGCCATCACAACAGGCAGATTCTGCCCCTGCCCAGCCATCACAGCAAGCAGAATCTGCCTCTGCCCAGCTAACATAGCAGCAGGCAGATTCTGTCCCTGTACATATTTTATAAAATATATATATTTTATAAAATATATGCTTAGTATATATTTTATGCCTAACATATTATCTTTTTGGGATCTTTTGATTATTTCCTAATTCTATCGGGTTAGGGAAACAATGTATTATTTATTGGCTATGGCCATCATCATTGTAATTCAAGCAATTGAGATTATTCAATTTAACATATTCTCTCTAATTTAGCAACTATTTTGCAAGGGCAATTTAAAAAAAGTACCGATCAAAGTTAGGCCAGGTTTGCATCTCATAACCAGCCTTGAGTTTCTTAAAGGACTTAGCTTGCATATCCGGGTCAAGTACACTTACGAGAGAATGAATCTGGCGGTAAGACCCTTCTCCTTACCTTAAAAAAAAAATATAAACCCTAGTGTATTTTTCTATCCCTATAACTCTAAATAAATCAACCCTATTTTCTATCCCTTAAGGCTAAAAGTATAAAACCCTATTGTATTTTTCTATCTCTTAAGACTAAAACCTCTATATGTCTGTCAATCTCTCATAAACCAAAAGCCAAAGCTTGGTTCTTCGATCCAAATAATCAACGTCAGTCGTGACTGTTCATTTGCATATACATCGATAAATCGGTAAATTTTTTTTTAATCCAATTGATTTTGTTAATAGTTTTTCATCTTCTTCTCTAATAAATTCAATAACTTGCTTGTAAGTTGTAACATTAAAGAGAGGTAATGAAGGACAACAATTCATTAGAAAAAAGGAATGTAAATTTGGTACATTGATTAATTGATGTAATTTCAATTTACAATGTAGATTTTCTAATTTTTATTTTTATTATTATACAGTTTTTGAAACTTCACTTTTGAAATTGTATTCGTGTGTGAGATGTTTTTTTTAATTTTTTTAATTTTTATTCTAAGGTTTTTGTTTAATCAAGTCCAATCTCGAAATTTGACTTCCGTTTAATTGAACTAATCAAATTGTGCTTATTCTTTATTGAATGCAGTACTCTGTATAAAGATGTCTCATACACTAGGTGGACAAGGCCAAGCAGCACTCATTCTGAAGAAAAGGTAACTCTTTAATTTATATACTGGTACCCGTTTTTGATTTTAGACTCGTACGATGTCTCGGGTTATTAATCGACTAAAATTTATGTAGAATGGAAAGACAGAGCAAGAAATCACCTGGACTTTCAATCGAAATTACATATGATTTTCCGGAATCTCTTATAATCGAGATTTTATCCTGGTTGCCAGTAAAAACATTACTACAGTTTAAGAGTGTTTGCAAATCCTGGTATGATATTATCAAAAGTGGCCATTTCATATCCAAGCATCTACAAAACTACTACAATCACAGCGATGATTTTCGCAACTTTTACATTGCTCAATGTAATGTTGGAAGTCAATTTGGTGAACTTGGGAATTTTGAGATGTTCGTTGATTGTGATATAAAGAGAGTTTTAACATGCGATAATTTAGAAACACCCATCTATAATACGTTTTTTTTTTTTTTTTTTTTGAAAACTCTATAATACGTTTATTGTTGGTCCGTGTAATGGTATATTTTACCTATGGTGTTGGTATGACTGTATGAGGGTGATAAGGGACGCTATTTATGGAATCCGGCACTGAACGACTTAAAATTGTTGCCTCCTCTAGTTATGAATCCTAATCATCCATCCCATGTAGCATTTAGCAGTGAGTCGTTTGGATTTGGATACGACCCCTTTACTAAGGATTACAAGGTTATTGTTATCATGAGTTTTAGGGATACAACGAAAGATTATTTTGATATTGACGAGCTATATGATACCCCTTTGTCCGTCTTCATATACTCATTGCGAAATGATTCGTGGAGATACTGGGGAGATTTGTCTAAGTATTACAATTTGAAGAATTATTGGTGTTACATTTTCGTGAATAGAAACTTGTACTGGCTAGGGTCTGATCAATATTATGCTTGGAACTCTGTCATCTCTTTCGATTTGGGTTATGACTTATGAGACTTGTCGAGAGATGTCATTACCCGAGATTGACAAGTCGAATGATGAAAGACTTGGACTTGCAGTGTTGCACGATTCCATTGCTCTTGTTGTTCAATGTCGTCAAGAGGGTTTTACAATTTGGACACTAAATGAAGGAGGTTGTTGGAACAAGAAGTACACTGCAAAATTTGAGTTTGATATATATGGGCCTTTTGGTCATTGGAACAACAAGGTTTTGTTTTCTGTTTCGGGTGGTAAAGCGTTATATGACCCTGAAACACAAGAATGGCAGCCGATTCCTTATCCCAGAAATCAAAATCAGTGTTGGGCTGTTTCTTCTTATAAAGAAAGTCTTGTTTCAGTTAATTCAGGTAGTATTTAATTTCATAATGGTAGTTTCTATACATAGCAATATTTTTATTTTGTAGGTTATGATTTTGATGGTTACAATATAATTTTGAGTGAGTACAAGATTTATTTATTTTTTTATTTTTTTTATTTTTTTTTTTTTTTTTTGTTTTGATAAAGATGTCATGTATGTAATTTTTGTTGGTTATTTTGTTATGGTATCAAAAAAGATTATTCATCAAGCAAATGTTGCTCATCACCACTATTTATGAATTATAATAGTACCAAGATTAACAATCACCACAAATGAATTATAATCACACTAGTTAGACCCTAAATTCCAAATCCTAAATTTCCATTGCTGATACAACACTATCTAAACCAAAGATCAAACTTCCATTTGAAGGAGTATTGCAAGATAAACTTCAAACCCAATCACCCAAATCAAAATACAAGTGAAATGAAAGAAAAGTATACCAGAGAATAGCCTCCTATTCCTAGTTTGAGATTTAATGACACAGCTTGATGGATGGTGCCATAAATATTTCATATATAATATTGGACATAGATGTTGTATAGAATGAAAAGTAAAAAGAAGCTCTCTTCAGATAGAAGACTTTACACATACACTTCATAATCATCATACCAGTAATACCAATTTCCAGATTGAATGTGGTAACTAAAGCTGCATTTTCAAAACCAACCCACAAAAAAACAGAGAGATATGTAATTGGGAAACAACAACATAGTTATAGCTTCATTATCCTAGAAGAGACCTAGATAGGCTTAAAATTATCTTTGCCTTGATACAAATGAGTCATAAACTCAAAATGGAATACATAGATTAAACAAGCAACAAATAGTTCTATACCTGCAACTTCTTGACCAGTCACTGCATCTACAACCAACAAAACTTCTGTAGGATTTACTGCTCGTTTCACTTCTTTTAACTCATCCATCATTCCTTTGTCAATCTGCCAAAATTGAAGCTACAACTAAGTCTAATTTATGAACCCATCTATGTAATAGCAACTAGACCATTGGATTGGATTGATGCAACATCACCTGAAGTCTACCAGCGGTATCCACTATAACCACATCAATATTTTTCTTTTTGGCCTCAGCTAAACATTGCTTAGCTATATCTGAAGGATTTACATCAGTAACTGCTGTATAGACAAGCACATCCACGGATCCACCTGTCACAAGCTTGATGATAAACATGAGAGTGGATATACTCATATACTTCATTCATAGAGAGAAAGCACATCAAAGTTATCACCATCCTATGAATGTAGATGATTACATAAAATCAATTATTCATAAAATTCAAAGAAATAAATGATAAATTCTACAATTTTATAGAACCATTCAATAAAAGTAGATCAAAATGGCCTTAAGTTTTTTATCATCACCTGGGAAAGATTCCAAATATGTGACAAATTCAAGAACCAACCAACTTCTCCAGATTCAATCAATTTCTTATGAGAATGAGAAGCATGTTATTGCAAATTTCGTTCCTATCAATAATTAGCAGAAAGTATAAAGGTTTGTAAGGTAAGAGGTTGCTATTCAAAAGATGTATGGGTCCAAAAATGCATCTAATGAACCAATGTGAGTTTATGGTAACTAATAAAATAAATATTATTTACTCTTCTGGTTTGGTCCGACCATATCAGAGACGAAATTGCTTAATTCACCATATTGATTTCAATGCAAGTTTTCTCTTTGGACATTCAGTTGTTTTGCATTATGAGTTCACAATAAGACACTAAGAATAATGAACATTCAGAGTTGAATCTTTGATATCTCAAGCACAGGTTATTTGGAAACCAAAATGGGAAAAAAAATCTAAAATTCTGATACTCCTGAGTAACAGAGACAAGAGAACAACACATAATATAGGGAACTTTAGGTCATTACATGCTTTCCTAGAATTACAAGTTGGTCAAGTTGGCCATTACATGCTTTCCTAGAATTACAACTTTAGGTCATTACATGCTTTCATAGAATTACTTTAGGTCAATTGTTGTAAACATCTCCTGCAACCAGCATGCAACTCTTCCCCTAAATGTAAATCCTCATAATTTTTACACAATAGAGCAACAGGAGAATGTGTAACAACAAAATAGTTTGTAAGCTCAAGGAAAGAATTCATTTATGTACCAGCTTCTTAAGATAAAAGGCTAACTTGGCAGAAACAGTTGTCTTCCCAACTCCTTGTAATCCTGCCAATAGTATCACAGTAGGACCGGATTTTGAAAAAACAAGCTAGGATTGTGTAACTTAAACATCAAGCTAGGATTGTGTAACTTAAACATCAAGCTAGGATTGTGCACATTCTACAGCTACAATCTACCAATAATATGAAGGAACCAGAAAATTAAGCCTTTGATTTATTTTTTTTCTAGCCATTGAAAGTCTAATGCATGATGAAACTTCAGTACATAGTCAAATCAGGTCGATGCAGTGAGAAAGAAATAGGGGCTAGAGAAAAGGAAAAGATAAGTAAAAATAGGCTAATAAGTGGCTTCAGCAGATCATACTTTGACCAATTGTTGATCAGGTTTAACTCCTCGGATCAACCCAACTCCAACAGCTTGATCACTAAGACACTAACAGACTGAACAAACCTTCTTACTACTGGAAGGCTCACCTGTCATGACAAAAATCAAAATAAAATCATGTTATCCAGGATCCAGCATGATTTTAGTCAACAGCAACACAACTGACTACAAACTCACATCCGCTTCCAAAAGAGCTCTTCTGATATCTCGCATAGGTTCAGCAATGTTTTCTTTAGTCAGGACCTCTGTTGAAAAAGATGAAAAGAACATGGGTTATCATCTCTTTTCACACGAATGGTTCATATATATAAAAAGCACAAAAGGTATCCAAACAACACATATTATTAATACATCATCTATACTTGCATATAATAATTTGTCAGCAACGAACTGAAGAAAAGATTCTATATATTATCTGAAGATTCTGAACAATAGCACAGATTCTAAGAAGCTTTCCTGATCTAGTCTAGCAATAAAAAAGCTACCAATACTTATGCAAAATCATAAAACCAACATGGACCTTCTGCCTATATTTCAAGCCACCACGAGTCCCATGACGTGTCCCATGGCTACACAACACCACTTCACTTCCTCGATTTCTCCAACCAAAGCCAACATCCTTATGTCTTCATTTTTATGCTCGAACCATCTCCACATAAACCCAACAGACCTCTATACAAGATCTTAAAAATGCAACCTTTTGTAGGGCATTTTAAGGGAATTAATGTAATTACTACGTATGTTGAATACAATAAATCAACTTCAAAAACATCCCAAAATAATTTTCATATTGTCTTAAATTCTTAACATTCTCTGATTATAATTTATAAATACCAATATAATGAAAACAAAATGAAAAACAAAGCCAACAACCTTGCTAATAAAATCAAGCACGGAATACAATAAAACCACAAAATTCACCAAAAACAACACTACCCATATGATTTATACGAAACAATTTAAAATATATTTCCTCGGTTTATTTTTAGTTGCAACATTTTAACGAATAAATAAAATACCTTGGCCTCGGAGTTTGGACCAAGCAGCTTCTGTTGGGGGAAGAAGCATTGCCAGCTGAAAGCACTCCTCTTCTGTCTGCGATTCCATGACTTGCTCCGGGGAAAGACAGTCTAAAACCAGTTGGAAGTTCTCTGAACCAAGCCTATTAAAAAGCACAAACAATCTGATTATTCACCATCTTGAATAGATAATTAGCTGGACATGATCCTGAGATCGATTCTCATCCCCGCCCTTGTGTCTCTCTAAACACCAAAAAAAAATATACACATTTATCGGACCGGCTAAGAGAAATCTTATAAATAGTAGCGAAGGAAAACACTTGATAAATTTCTATTGCAACCTTTCTGTTGCTACTGCCCCCTGGTCTCAGTGCTGTACTAGACATGAGGATCATGTCCAAAAGTCCAACCACCATTTCTTTCGACAGGGAAATACAGCCGTTGTACTACGTATACAATTTTAGCAGGGCGATACAGCTAATTAATTTATTTTCTTACTAGAAGTGGATACTATGATGATATTTCCATTGGATTGTAAGTTGGAGGGTCTCCTTCCACCTCTTGATGGAATTTGATACAATTTCAGTATTACTCCGTACCAATGAAAAACTATACACAGCTTTTTAAATTAATTTCGGACTGTAGAGAACTTAGGCCCTAACAAGATCCATGAGCACCCAACAATGTTTTCAGAAATAACTTATGAGATGGACCGAGAAGGGATATTGAGCTCAGACATGCGAAAGAGTACAAGCATGTTTTTGTTTATCACATTTGAACCTTTTATACACAGCAGTAAGGCCTGCAAAATTGAAAAGCTAATGGAACTTTCTGCTTGAAAAAACCATATAGACACTGGATGATATGTAGCAAACTGCATTTTGCAAGTACTCAATAGTGTTATGTCAATCATTTCTCTAATCATTAGTTTTCCAAGGATAAATTAACTTCAGCCAGCTACTGTTTACACAAAAGTGACATATGATATACAAACACAAATTTGCTCTGAATTTTTACGAAAATTTCAACTCAGAAAGCTTAGGATGAGTATGATTAAAATACAATTTCTAATTACTTTTGATACCGCTCATAAAACCAACGTCACTACTGCATCATTTTGCTCACGGGTTCAAGAGCCTCGACGGTGACCACACTATTGCCTCGGATAACTCAGTAGAATAGAGAATGAACCAGTCAATCAACATCTAAAATCAAAATACATCAACAAAAAATAAGAATTCAAGGAAATTCTTAACTCACCAGCCTATTTCATTTTTCTCATTGTCGTTAATTTTCCAGTGTTATCAACCACAAGATTCATAAACTGATCAAATCCACAAATTGTGCCCACCACCATCCTGTTTGCATTCAGCTTGACTGCACAAGAGCCAATTTGTGTTATATAATTTCTATCACAGAATTCAGTCGCTCAAACATATAATAGAGTTAAGTAACAATTGTCAATTGTATGTGTTAGGGCCTATAATTAGTGTTTATATTGTATAGTTAACGGACCTATTTCTTGAGCCCTAATCTCTTGTATAAATACTCTACTCTACACTCTAATGAAACTACGGAAAATTATTTCGTGACATGGTATCGGAGCCAATCAAATTCTAATCCCTAAATTTCTACATTCTAATCACTAAATTTCTGAAATTTTAATCTAAATTTCTACTCTTAATTGCTACTCTACATTGCCGATTTGCTTAATTGCTACTCCAAATTGCTGAATTTCTGTATTCTCCTGCCGAAATTTCGACCCTAAAGTGCTGATTTTTTTCATTTTAATTCTACTCTACAATTCGATTTCTCAACAATGGTGAATGGTGGATTATCTTCTTCCTTCTTGTCTGCTGAATTGAAGCGTCATGCTAAGTCACAACTACATTGTACCCACTGCAATCGATCGGGACATGATTTTGACGGTTGTTTTCTCGTTCACGGCCTCCCCGATTGGTGGCTGGATAAGTATGGACACAAGGGGCGTTCATCTCCGGCTGCTGCAAATGTTCCGGCAGGTGTTACTGTTCCGGCGGGTGCTGCACCACACGTCACTGCTGCTGCCGTTCCTTCTCCCGCTGCACCTCTACCGCTTCTAATGTCGCACCCTTCACCAGGACGCGGGGATAGCCTGCGGCCGCTGCCACAACCCAGCAGTTTCTGCCAGGCCGCGGGGATATCCCGCGCTTCTTCCCTGCGGCCGCTGCTGCCACTTCGCCTACTGCTGCTACTTTTTCTACTCTACACTCTGCCAACATTACTCCTATTTTGACTTCTTCCTCTAATCAATCTGCCACCACTAATCCAATTGTGGGTGGGGTATTTGATGTTCCTTCCGATCGTATCACCAGTGATTCTTTTTCTCTATCTTGGATAATTGACACGGGTGCCTCTCATCATGTAATGGGTGACGAGTCTTCATTATTTGATACTCAATTTTACCATGCCCCGTTGGTCTTCCCGATGGTGCTCAAGCCTTTGCAACAAAGGAGGGTCGCGTTTTCTTGGCGGATGGAATTACTCTTGAGCACGTTCTCTTTGTTCCTAAATTAAATTGCAATTTGATTTCGGTATCTAAGTTGATTAATGATTCTAAGTACTTTGTCCGATTCACTAACTCTCTTTGTGCTATACAGGATCAATCCTCGGGGAGCTTAATTGGAGGCGGTGAACGGATAGATGGACTATATTATTTCCGGCGTCTCCCAAAAGTATGTGCACTCCCGGGTCCGGACATTTCTACATTTGAGTTGTGGCATCGTCGTTTGAGGCACCCATCGGAAAAAATCGTCAAATTGATTCCTGCTATTCGAGGTACTACTGGTACTAAGTGTTTACATAAAGCTTGTAAAATTTGTCCTCTTGCTAAACAAACCCGAGCCAGTTTTCCTGATAGTGATAGTCGTGCTAGTCGTATTCTTGAAATGATACATTGTGATTTGTGGGGACCATATAACACGGCTTCTACTTGCGGTGCTCATTATTTCTTGACGATTGTTGATGATTTTTCACGTGGTGTTTGGGTTTATTTATTGAATGACAAAACCGAAGTTTATTCTTCTTTTTGCTCTTTCTTTGCTATGGTTAAGTGTCAATTTGATGTCAATGTTAAGTGTGTGCGGAGTGACAATGGCACAGAATTTAAACCCATGCTCCCTTATTTTACTGAAAATGGCATTCTTTTCCAAACCTCTTGTGTTGGCACACCTCAACAAAATGGTCGTGTAGAGCATAAACACCAACATATATTGAATGTGAGTCGTGCTTTGATGTTTCAAGGCAATTTGCCGATTACTTTTTGGGGTGAGTGTGTCCTTGGGGCGGTTTATTTGATTAATCGTACTCCTTCTGCTTTGCTAGCTAATAAAACCCCATATGAAATTCTCTTTGACAAAGAACCCTATTTTGATGCTTTGAGGGTGTTTGGTTGTCTTTGTTTTGCTCATAACCAAAAGGCTAAGGGTGACAAATTTGCACCTAGGAGTAGGAAGTGTGTGTTTGTGGGTTATCCTCATGGCAAGAAGGGGTGGAAGTTGTATGATTTGGAAACCGGTGATATTTTTGTTTCCCGTGATGTTAAATTCCATGAGAATGAATTCCCGTTTGTGAAAGATGGTGATTCGGTTTCTTCTACTGTGGGTGCCGAGAGTGTGCCTAATGACTATGTTGGTGTTGATCACGATTTTCTTGATGATTTGGAATATGTATTAGAGGTTGGTGAGGGTTCTCTTGTGCCTGAAAACTCTTCACAACCTCGTGCTACTACTTCTACCCCCCACAGGTCACCTGAGGCTGCTGTTCATGACAACGACAGTCCCGTGGTGTCCCCTGCCCCCACTGCCGCCTCCTCGACCACTGGTACGGACAACCTTGATGTAGTTGTTCCGGACCCCTCTTCTACTTCTCCTATTGCGTTGGATCGTGCTCAACGTCCAAGGCAACCCCCAGGGTGGCACCGGGATTATGTCGCACACACTATATCTTTACCTAGTCCATCTATCTCGCAATGTTCATCGTCTACTCCATGCTCCTCAGGTACTCCTTACCCCTTAGCACATTTTGTGAATGGTGATAAATTTTCTGTGCAACACCGTATTTTTATTGCAGCAGTTGATACGATAGTTGAGCCTCGTAATTTCAAGGAGGCAATGCAAGATGAGGGGTGGAAAGCGGCTATGCAAACAGAAATTGATGCATTGCAAAAAAATGGCACATGGGTAATGGAAAATTTACCTCCGGGTAAGAAAGCTCTTGGGTGTCGATGGGTTTACAAAGTCAAACTTAATTCTGATGGCACACTCGAGAGATTGAAGGCTCGTCTTGTTATCTTTGGTAATCATCAGGTTGAGGGTATTGATTACAATGAGACTTTTGCTCCCGTTGCTAAAATGGTCAATGTTCGTGCTTTTCTTGCTGTCGCTGCTGCAAAGAATTGGGAATTGCATCAGATGGATGTCCATTATGCATTTCTTCATGGTGATCTTGATGAGGAAGTTTATATGAAGCTTCCCTCTAGGTTTCATGGCTCTCAACCTGGTATGGTGTGTCGTCTTCTGAAGTCGTTGTATGGTCTTCGACAAGCACCTCGTTGTTGGTATTCTAAATTGGCCGCCTCTCTGAAAAGGTACGGATTTGTGCAATCGTACTCTGACTATTCTCTTTTTACACTGCAATCTGGGTCTATACAACTTAGTGTTCTGGTGTATGTTGATGATTTGATAATTTCTGGTAATGATTCTTCTGCAATTTCAACATTCAAGTCATACTTGAGTGACTGTTTTCATATGAAAGATTTAGGTGTTTTGAAGTATTTTCTTGGTGTTGAGGTTGCTCGTAGTCCGGAAGGCATATTTTTATGTCAACGGAAATATACACTTGACATTATTGCAGAGTCTGGTTTGCTAGGTGCTCGTCTGGCAGGTACTCTTATTGAGCAGAATCATACTCTGGCAAAATCAGAGTCCTCTTTCTTTACTGATCCAGAGCAGTATCGACGGCTTGTGGGCCGCCTGATTTATTTGTCTTTTACTAGACCGGATTTGGCATACGCGGTGCATATTTTGTCTCAATTTATGCAACAACCGCGACAGGACCATTGGGAAGCGGCTCTTCGTACAGTGCGGTACTTGAAGGGATGTCCGGGTCAGGGAATCCTTTTGAGTTCGGATTGTGATTTACATATTACCGGTTGGTGTGATTCAGATTGGGCAGGTTGTCCCTTATCGCGCCGTTCTATCTCTGGCTGGTTGGTGTTCCTTGGTGCTTCTCCTATATCTTGGAAGAGATTCAGATTGGGCAGGTTGTCCCTTATCGCGCCGTTCTATCTCTGGCTGGTTGGTGTTCCTTGGTGCTTCTCCTATATCTTGGAAGACTAAGAAACAGGACACTGTGGCCAAGTCTTCTTCCGAGGCCGAATTTCGCTCAATGTCTAAAACCACTGATGAGTTGAAATGGTTAAAGGCCCTTCTTTTGAGTTTGGGTGTCTCTCATCCTCGTGCTATGAGTTTGTTTTGTGATAATCAATCTGCTTTGTATATTGCGAAGAATCCGGTTTTCCATGAGCGTACCAAGCACATTGAGGTTGATTGTTATTATCTTCGTGATGCGATTCAGGATGGTATCATTAGTCCGTCTTATGTGAAGACAACGGACCAATTAGCGGATATTTTCACCAAGGCTTTGAGTAAAAGTCAATTCATGTATTTACTTGGCAAGTTGGGCATTTGTGATTTGCATGCTCCAACTTGAGGGGGGGTGTTAGGGCCTATAATTAGTGTTTATATTGTATAGTTAACGGGCCTATTTCTTGAGCCCTAATCTCTTGTATAAATACTCTACTCTACACTCTAATGAAACTACGGAAAATTATTTCGTGACAGTATGAGCATGATTACCATTAGCAAACTTAATACCAGATATAAATAATTTCTAATAAAAATCAGTCCTTGGAAGATATATTGTAATGCCCCGTATTTTTATACGTATTTTATTTAAAATATGTATTTTATAAAGTATTTAAATAATTTTAATATTTTAATTATGGCATTTTAACTAATATTTTTATAAAAGGAAAGTTTATTTAATTTCTTTATTTATAAAAGTTGGGTTTTTATTTTAAGAAAGTTTAATTTTAACAAGTTTTATTAGGGAAGAGATTAGGAAAAACTAAAAGAGGAAAGTTTAGGGAAAAAGGGATTGGTTGAGAAGGGGTATAAATATCCCACTTATGAGGCAAATCAACTTTTCCCAAAGTGGAGAAAAACCCAAGGTAAACTTTTCTCTCTCTCCTCCTTATTTTTCTTTCTTTTTCTTTTCCCCTTTCCCTTTTTTTTCGACTGCCTGATTTTCCTTCCCCCCTCCACCGCTGCCATCCACCGGCAACAAGTGGCCGCCGCTGCCGGCAACCGGTGGCTGCCTTCTCTTTCCCCCTTTTTCGAGTGTATAAAAAAAACTTAGCTTTATTATTTTAATTTAATCTGTGCTTAAATCTAAGCGTAAATTATGAGTTTTGGGATTTGATTTTTGATGTTTGATTATAATTATTATGTCAATTAATTTTCAGATTTGATTTTAATTTTAAAAAGCCTCAATTTTTGAAACCCTAGGTTCTTGATTTATGAATTATTCAAGGGTTATGATGTATATTGGTTTAGATCTTTGTTTTAAGTGTTTTAAGGCTTAATTACAGCAAGTTTTAATTAAAATAAAGTGCTGGAATTTTATGTAGAACACTTAATATTATGTTTCTTGAAGGAATTTTAATTACCCATTAATTGAGACTTA